GGGCAGGACGCGGCTCCCGCAGCCCCGCGCTGCAGCCATGAGGGAATCCCAAGGGTTTGCGGGACCGCTTGGAAGCCTTGGGCTGGCACATCCTGATGCTGGACTGCACCAAGAGCACGGACAGAAACGTCACCAGCCCTCGGCAAGATGTAAATTCCTAAGGTGGGAATAAAAGGTGCTTTTCTCATCTCAGCTAACCCAGCAGCTTCCTTTCCGCCTGCAGAGCTGTTGTTTCCAGCGCGTGGCACCGAGGCAGCACGAGGGATGGAGTAAAAGGAATTCCGAATAAAGCTTCAGGACAAGGGCCTTGCTCAAGCCCTGCGTGTCCCACTGCGCCGGGAGGAGCGAGCGGAGCCCCCAGGTGAAGCAGAGCAGCCGGTTGGGGAGACCCGGGGCTTGCGGGTGACACCAGCCCCTCCTGACCCTGCTGCGGCTGCTGCAAACGGGGGCAAACACGGGCACGTGCAGGGGCTGCACATGGGCACGCGCAGGGATGCACATGGGCTGCACACGGGCATGCACGGGGGGGCTGCACTCAATCCCCCAGCCCAGGTACCATCCCACTCCCCAACAACCCCTCCACGGTGGCAGAGAAGGTCAAACATCCCCTCCTTTTCTGCAATATTTATTTGGGGCCTGACCACAGAAACTATTTTTGCAAATCAGAGAACAGAAATAACATTTTAGAGTCCAAAGAGAGTCCAAACCAAGGCAGGGAGCCACAGGGGCCATGTAAATGTATAAAAAGCAGCATTATGACAGGTGAGCCCCCAGGTCCAGCCTCCCTCTGTTCCAGGAAATTCTTCTCTCAGAAAACCCCGGGCTCTGCCGGGCCGAGGGGCTGAGCTTATCTTGACAGAGTATTTTTAGACTCTGGCTCAGGGGAGAATCTGTTGATATAAACAAGTGTCGAGCACCACCCCTTGAAAGGAAAAGAGCAACAACCGAAGGCAGGACAGCTCCTGTTTCCCTTCACATCTCCCACAGCCCCTGGGGAAGCACTGGGCTTTTGAAGGACACTCTTCCAGGAGACGGATGCAGCCTTTCAGGATGGCCTCAACCAAGCAGCATTGCACATGGAATGGTTTTTCCAGAGGCTCCCATCCTCCCTCACCCACTCCCCAACAGAGATGGATCAGCAGGACACACAAGCTGCCCCGGAGGAGCCCCAGGACGTTATTTCTCTTCCTTTGCACGCCGCCTCTCCTGCCACTCTATCCTCTTCTGCACTTTCTTCTTCAGCTGCAGTTGCTTTTTATCCTCCAGTGTTTGCTGGATCTTCTCACGGAATTGCTTGTTTTTCTTCTTGATCTTGGCCAGTTCTGCCTTCCTTTTGGCCTCCAGATCTGGATCCTGCAATGGCAAATGCCAGGGTATTAGTCACAGGCACAGGGACAGTACCAGCCCCTTGCCAGGTGCCCACTCTACTCCCTTGCCCTTCACTGAATAGGCTGCAGAAGTCAGGCACTAACCCAGATTATTTTTTCCGTATCAGTCACCCTTTAAGATAAATTTTACCTCCAAAAGGGAGGCAGACAAACTCGAGCAGTGAAGAAAGAACTGTCATTCCCTTCCCACATCAATGGTGTTATATCAGCTACTGATCAAAGCAGTTTACACAGCAGCAGTTCTCACCTTCCCTTCAAGGATCAGTTGTTTCCGCTTATTTATTTCTTTCTTTTCATCAAAATCCATCCCCTCCAGTTTCTGTCAAAGCAAAAATAGAGCGGGGCAACCAGCAATCAAGCACCGCGAGCGACGCAGAACAGCAGGACTGCTCGGAGGATGAGCAGAGCCCCCCTCGCTCCCCCAGGCGCCCCGGCAGCCCTTCTCCCCAAGGCAGCGCTCAAGGGAAAGAAGCCCCCGATTTCCAGGGCTCTGACCACAGGGCTTGCGTTTGCACTTACTATTTCACAGTCCCTCCTGGTGATGTACACCTGGGTGAGGATGTCCAGCACAAAGCGCTCCTCCACAGAGAACTCCTGCAGCTTCAGCTCTAAACATTTACAGAACATGGTTCGCTACAAAACACAACTGCAGATCCTGCTGCAAACCAGCACAGTTCCACTGGCTGTCAGGGGCACTGTTGTCACTTGCTCTGATCACTGTGGCTTCTACAGCCCTGCAATGCAGGATCAAACCCTTCCCTCTGCCCACAGTTCCCAAGGGCACAAGGTGCTGCACTTGTATTTCCAAAAAACAGATGAAATCTGAATCTCCACCAAACATCCACAGCACTGTGCCAGGCAGGAAGGAAAGCAGGAGCTGGTTGTCACAGAGCAAGCTCTCCAGACTGTTTCTCCTGCACTAGAAACAGCAGGGAGACAAACCTGCCCCTGCCTGGCACACACTGCAGCAAACCCAGAGCTCACAGACCCAAGAGCTTCTGCTCTTCTCCAAGCCTCGGCCACACAAACAGGGAACAGAGACCCTTTTTATATCAATGTTCCAGCTCACACATCCTATCTGTGAAATCAGGGCTGCAAGCACCACCGGTACAGAGGAGTGTGCATCACCCCTTTTTCAGCAGCACCAACGCTCCCTACTCACTGATTTCGTCCTCGATAGCGTGTACCAGATGGATGTCGTACTGCGTCACCATCGTAATAGCCAGTCCGTGCCGACCTGCAGGATGACAACACTGATGTATGAATCTTGACAAGCAGAGGAGACAAAGCCTGATCCGTGCCAGCTTCCATCCATCCCCTGAGTCAGCCTGGCACGCTGCGGCGATGGGATGCTCTGAAGCAGGACCTTTATTTGCTCTGCAGAATCAATTAACCACTGGTGCAAACCAGCCAGGGCCAAGGTGAACCTAGGGCAGGCTGCTGAGCCAGGGATGTGAGCAGCTCCGACGCCGGCTGAGAGGACTGCACTGCAGCTGCCCCTTCCGTGAGCATCCTCACGCGTTTCGGGACAGAGCCCAGCCCTGGGATCCCGTTACCTGGGACCGGGGTAACCCCAGGTTATCCCACAACCTCGCAGCAAACGGCACGTGGGGTTCCCGGCTCACCTGCACGGGCTGTGCGGCCAACCCGGTGAATGTAGATTTTTGGCAAGCCTGGAGTATTGTGGTTGATGACAACTTGTACTGTAGGAATGTCCAAACCTCTAGAATGCAGTAAAGGAGAAGGAAGTTGAAAAACACCATTCTATTACTCTGCTTTCCCCAATATTCTCATGAATATCGCTTTCAGTAGCTCCAGCTTATTCTAGGAAAAACCCTCTCCTCATACTGCCCTTCAACAGCCATAAAAATGGATGGCCTGATGTGCACATCACCCTGTAACCCACTGATGGCCTAACATTCCCTCCTGGGGACAAGCTAAGCCCCACAAAATCATTCCCCTGCTACAATACATGCACATGCTCCTGCTGCAGCAAACAGGCACAATCAGAGCTACTTCACCCACAAATTAGCTCCAGAATACAGCTAAAAAGCGTTCCATAATCACAGCAGTTTTCCATTACCTGGCAGCAACATCAGTGGCAATGAGAATCCTAAAGATGCTGGACTTGAACTTTGCTAAAGCTGCAAATCGCTGCCGCTGTGAAGGAGAAATCCGGATCAGAGACCCTGCTCGGGAGCCGCGTGGCCTGGGGACACAGCCAGACGTGTCCCTCTCCCCAGCCTGCCGGCCACTCACCTGCTTCATCATGGAGTGCAGAGCTACAGAGGGAAAGTTGAACTTCCTGAGCATCATGTTCAAGACCTGGCAGTCCCTAAAGGCAAAAATAGCCCTCAGCAGAAGCAAGCGAAGATCAAAGGGGGCAACGCAGCAGCCCAGAGCACTGCGTTTCTAGTCAGTTCTTCCGAATCCGACTGCCCGAAAGAAAGGGTACCTCATCTGCCACATGTCAGCATAGACTAAGGAAGCAACTGCTGCCCCAGCCTAGCAAGCAATAAACCCGAGGAAGAAACACAAAGCCATTTCTGCTGTCTACAGCAAGAGCATCCCAAGGAGCAGCTCGACTCACTTGCAGGTTTTGGTGAAGACAATAATAGACCAGTCTTCGTGCTCGTCCTGGAAGGTCTGGATCAGATGGACCAGGTACGCGTCCTTGACCATCTCCGGCACGAGCAGGTAGCGCTGGTCCAGCTCATCCACCGTCCGCACCCTGCAGCGAGGGGCACCAAAAAAGTCCAGGTTTGACAAGCAAGGGAGGAATGTGAAGGAGACAAAAAACAACCAGGAGACAAGACAAGAGAGTGGAGGTCCCTGATCCGGGCCAGGTGGAAACTCACTCGGACGTGGCCTCCCAGAAGAAAGGCTCGTTCGTGGCCAGGGTCTTGAGCTCCTTCAGTGTATCGGTGAGCGTGGCGCTGAAGAGCAGCGTCTGCCTCCGGGCCGGCACCGCTGCCAGAATCACCTCCAGGTCCTCGGTGAAGTCGGTGCATCCCTGCTCCAGCAGCCGGTCAGCCTCATCCAGGACCTAGGACACAGAGCGGCCCGTCCGCGCTCGCTCCGAGGAGCCGGCAGCGGAACCGCCCCGAACGGAGCCTCACCAGGAACCGGAGCTTCTTGAGGCTGAACGTGTTGGAGCTGCGCAGGTGATCGGCCAGCCTGCCCGGGGTGGCGATGACAACGTGGGGCTTCCGCGACAGCTCCAGCGCCTGCGCCACCATGTCTGAAACGAGAGCCGCGGAGCTTACGGCAGCCCAACGCCCTAGATAACAGCGGGCATCTAAACCACCCTGCATTTAAAAACCTAAGGATTTTAAATCCATAATGGTGTTTGGGTAGTTTTGTAGCACCTGGCTATAAAAACAGACACTTGCAAATAGGGGAACGCTCCCAATTTAGGGATAAGTCACACAGGCTTCTATCCTGGGGCCAAAGAGTGACCCAGGCAGGTTACCTGTCCCCACGTGGGTGCCGCAGGGACGGGCAGTTACGGGCGCTCACTCGGCTGCTCCTGTGCCCGTCCCGGCCCCGGTGGCTCCCCAGCCGCGCGGGGCCCATCGAAGCCCCCAGCCCCATCGGAGCCCCCGGCCCCACTCACCCAGGCCGCCCACCACGACGCAGTCCTTGAGGCCGAGGGGCTTCCCCAGCACGCGGAACTGCTCGGCGATCTGGTAGGCGAGTTCCCTGCGCGGAGAGGAGAGAGGGCATCGGCAGGGGACATGGCAGGGGGACACAGCCGGGGGATGGGACACACCGGGGGGACACAGAGCGCGGACACAGCCACGGG